CGTGGCGCGTTGTCAAGCGATCGCTGACGAGGGTCAAGGCGATCTTCCAGGCGAGGTTCCTTCCCGTGGTCCAGGAGGTTGCCAGGCGCTGTCGCGCAGAGAAATGCTTTGGGGATGGCGAGGATGGCAACCCCCACCCCAAGCAGCAGTTTCTGGACAAGACGGCGGCGGCGCTGGAGTGCCAGCAAGGCGTGGAGAAGATCATCAGAGAATCTGCCATGCTGTTCGACGGGGAGGCCGCGTTCGACTTGGACCCGTACCTCTTTCAGCTCAGCAATTGCGTGGTGGACCTCCGCTCGAACACCATCCGTCCAGGCCGCCCGACAGACATGACTTCCCTGCGCAGCCCGATTCGCGCGCCTCAAAGGCGGGCGGCCGTGAACGTAAAGGAAGAGGGGGGACGATGCGCGGATGGGTGTGGGTAAACGCAGCGTTTTTCCCGTTTGAACCGCCCGTATCGTTGAGAGACCATGGGTTTTTGTATTGTTTCATGAAGTTGCGCCCTTGCTGGCGCGCCCGTAGACGTTGTCGTCGCGACGGTGCGTCTAGGAAATGTATAAAAAACAGTGGGTTTTCGACAGGTTCGGGCGGTTCAAACGGGGAATAAACTGTGTGAAGCAGAGAAGGCGAACGCGTGTTTCAGGGCACTGGTGCAGGGTAGTCGCGCTCGGCAACAGGTGGCTGCAGAAGTCCGACCTCGTGGGATCCGAGTCGGCCAGCGACCGCCAGAGGTCACGGTCTATCTTGCGGTCGCTATATAAGCGCGAGGGCGACCATCACCCCGACGATTGCGCGGAGGAGCTCGGGGACGCAGACGCGGAGAGCTTCCAGCACATGATGCATCTGCAGGCGCGCTTTCTCGAAGGCACGCCGCTCTGCAAATGCGCGCTGCTGTGGTCTAGGCGGGGCCGCAATGGCAAAGGCATCTGCGAAAAGAGATTCCAGGCTGTCTGGGGGGAGTATTGCGTTCCTGCCCGAGCCACAGTCTTCACTGCGGACAAGCGCTCCGAGCACGAGCACAATGCGGCGGACGCCTTTCGTCGAGGAGTTCGCGTAGCCTTTGGCAACGAGGTGCATTCCGCGGCTTGGAGCAACGCTGTCTTCAAGAGCAGGAACTCTACCGATCCCATCGCCGTCCGCGCTTGCAACTCAGGCGGAACCGAGAAGATGAAGCCCATGTGCACTTACATTTTCGCGTGCAACGATATCCCATCGTGGGAGCAGGCCCCCAAGGGCTCGGAGCGCGACCGCCTGCTGCCTACGTATATGCCGAATAAGTTTCGCGACTCCTTCGACGCCCCCACGTCGCCGCATTCTTTCCTCAAGGACCACGGGCTCGAGGCAGAGATCGGCAGGCCCGAGTTCGCGATTGGCCACTTGCTCAACCTCCGCACCATCAGGTCATCTGCGTCTTCGGGCGGAGGCCTCTCACTGCACGAGCTGGCGGCGACAGGGACGAAGACGACGGCGCACTGGCTCGAGGCGTGGATGACCGAGTGGAGCAGGGTGGACGGCGACGGCGCTCACGAGGGCGAGGTGAAAGGGGAGTCATTCGCGCTCGCCCAGGACATCCACGCTCGCCTCTACGCGTCAAGGACCCGCGCCCTCCTGCAGTGCCAGGTGGATCAGACCAGGTGCGATCTGCCACTAGCCGCCCCCAAGACGAAGCGGCGGGCTGTCCCCCTGGGCCACATCCGCGCGTCAGGTCGCCTCGGGGCCAATCTCGTCCAGATCGGGGCCGCGAAGTCACGCAAGCAGAGAATGCAGGCGTGCGTGACCGTACTCCCCCTCGACACGTCGCTGTGCAACCAGTTGTTCTCGGACCCCGCCGCGTTCGGCGACCTCGCGGAGTGCGCTTACAACCTGTGCCTCGACGCTTTCGCCCCCGCCGAGGACGCGCTCGCCAAGCCCGCCGAAGCTGAAGTGCCGACCCGAATGTGCCGCTACACCGTCTGCGAGGCAGCCAACTTGACCGCGTTGCGGGCCCGGCGCGACGCTGGGGCTGCCGTCGCGGGCGAGCGTCGCCAGGAGGGGTTGCCCGCGTACGTGGATCTCCTGGACGAGGCGGGCCAGGCCTGCACCATGAAGGACGGCTTTCTCCGCCCGACCTCCGAGCCAGGGTGCCCAGACATCCGTGTCCTTCGGCGCGAGTATTACCAGCTCGACGAGATCGGCCGCGCGTGCGAGTCAGGCCCAGGGCTTCAGTCTTGCACCCGAGAGACGCGAGTCGTCGCGTTCGAGGGCCTCGCCGTGGGCGAATTCGACATGATTGCGGCGTTCTACCAGATATTCCTGCAGGCGCTGCGGCCACACGTTCCGGATGGTGCCACTGAGCGTGATTTTGGGATCGTCATGATGTACGCGGACAAATCCAAAGAGTGGCGCTCCGCCGTTGCCCAGTACAATAACATCGACGTGTCCGAGGCCAAGGCGATCTTCTCGCGGCTGCCGTTCAAGGGCAGCATTCAGCCTGATGCATCCTGGGAAGGCGATCGCTCCGACGACATGCTGCCGTGCCTGATGGAGTTGAGGGGCGCTTTCAGGCGTGGCCAGGAGATCCTCGCGGCCGAGTGTGACAATTACAAGAAGGCGAGGTCTTGGAATTCGACGTTGCCGCTGGCTTGCCCGACCGCGCGTGGCTTCGGGTTTCGCTGCTTCCCCGCGGCGAGCCCTGCCGCGGCGGCGCGGGCCGCTGGTGGCGCGAGGACTTCCAGGAACCGCAAGGTTGCATCCATGGAGAAGGTGTTGCAGAAGGCGCATCCAGGGTCCTCGGCGCTGGCGCTGTACCTTCAGACGAAGGAAGACGAGATTCTCGAGAGCATGGCTGCCACTGCCAAGTGGCTGCAAGCGTGCGTCTTGAGCTTGGTGTTCGACGGCGTGTACGTGGCCATGCCTTCAATGCCCGACATCGCGGGGGTGTTCGACTCGGTGGCCGGCCACGTCTGGGAGACGCACGGTGTCCGCATCGCCTTGAAGGCAGTGGGTGGCGAGACGATCAAGGCGTTCGCGGCTGCGTCGAAGCGCAGCCGCTCGAGCGATGAGGACGAGGCTGAGACGGCCCAGAAGACGGCGAAGGTGTGCCACCTGACCCAGGAGATGGAGAAGCTGTTGGATATCGACGCGTCCGCGGCGGCCAGCGGCGCGCACCAGGGCGGCGGGCCGCCCTGCGCCCGGGAGGAGCAGCGCGGACACGGACAAGGCGGCGGGATGCTCGGCGCCGCGGCAGCCAGCGGCGCGCCCGAGGGCAGCGGGCAGTTAGTCGCACAGGAGGAGCAATTCGGCTGCGAGCCAGGCGGCGGGCCGCCTGATACGCAGGAGCCGTCGATGGCAGGCCGCTGGAATGAGGGCGACGCGGTCGTCTCCGATGCGGCTCACTGCGGTGCGTGATCTGATTGTCGGCCCATGCGCGATGGGGAGCCCGTTGCCTGGCTGTCATGGTCGCGGCCACGAGGCAACCGCCGTTGTGGGGTCATCTTCGTTGCTTGCGCCTGCAGAGTTTGCGCGATGCGCTCGGGGGCAGGCCTTGCTCGGGATGCTTTGTGCGGCCGCTGCAGACTAATCGTCCAGCGCGCGGCAGCAGGGTCAGCTGCACGATCGCTTGTTTGTTGTGTGTACGGTGCGTTCGACGCGCGCCAGGGCAGGACTCGTTTGGACTGGTTCGTTCCGCTCGCAGACTCTATTGGGGAAACCTTTCGCCCCGCCCCCGCCATCCTAACCTGCCGCTTGCAATTGGCCTGGGTTCGTTTGCCAAACTTTTCTTTGAGTTGTTTCCGTTTGAGCCGCCTGATCCACTAAACCGCCATAGGTGTTGTCTACCACGCCTGGTATGTTTTGGCGCCGTTGACGGCACTTGCTCGCGTGTCAACACGGTGTCGACGTCAAGTGAACATCAACTGTACGTGGGTTTTTAATCAACCGCAGGCGGCTCAACTAGGAAATCTCCAAGGGGAAGCGACGCCTGATAGCGACGGCCTGACACGCGCTATTGCAACCGAGTGTCTTACTAAGGACGGTTAGTTCTCTCGATGGTACCCTTTGCGCCCTTGTCTTTGGAGCTTCTCCTTCGCCTTTTTCGTCGATCGGCCTCTCAGGGTACCCCCCTGGGGCTGCGACTTCCAAGGGTCCTTCGTCCTTGCATTCCGTCTTTTCTACATGTGTCGTCTGTAGCTCAATTGGCACGCAGAGCGCCGCAACAAAATAGTAATTGATCACATCGTTGGCCTTCGGGCAGGATACATTTCCAAGCTGCAAGCCAACAACATAGTAACGGATGGGTTTGCTTACGGGGGGCGTCCCCCAGTACACATCACTAAACCAGGTCCCACTACAGTCAACCCGCATAGGGAGGATGGGCAACCTTCCCAAGGGTACGCTTGCATCCTTGCCTCCTCGGTCCATCCTTGGCCAATTTCGTTGGCCGCGCTGTGCTCGGAAAGCTTCGAAATGGCCCTCCAAGGCCCTTGCATCCTTATCCCGCATCCTTACTATTCGGGTCGACTGTAAATCCAGTTCTGCCAACGCCCGATTCTGAAGCAGCCGTCGTCGAGCGAATCTCGCCATCGAGGAGCCGCGACCGCTCGAGGTTGAAGAATCCACGCGGTGGCGGAGACCGGAGCCGAAGCCGCCACGGCCCGCATCCGCCCGACCCAGTTCTCAGCGGCACGAGCACCGAATCCGCCATCGAGAGGCGCTTGTCCCAGCGCGGCCAGAGATACCCCGACGTTCCACCGTTGTGGTACAGTGAAGGCCCATGCCAAGAAACACCCTGCTTGCCTCCAGGGTGCCCTGGGTTTCTTGGGTTTCCGTGGTTTTGCTATGCAAAGCGTGACGTGCCCGCACCGAAAATCAGTGGACGCCCTGGGGTCTCAGGGTTAGGTTTCTTGTGGAAGGTTTCTTGTGGAAGGGCCCCCAATTATTGTAATGATTCTCCAGCCGTTCCAGGACGGGCGTCCCCGCTGGCAGAGAGTCTTGTCTTACTCCGCTCCTCGTCCGCCAAAGAGGGGCATGTCCAAGCTCAGGGCGGTGTCTTGGGTGATGCTAGCTGGGGTGCCAGTGTGCGCTGGCACTCGCAGGAGAAAAAGATCAGTACCTGCACCTGTGCACCTTCTACATTCCTGCCGATCTCGGCTTTCCTGTTCGGTCGCCACCTGCTGGACTCGCCTGGGGATGCTGGTCAGCGCGCGCCCCTGTGGATGCCAGATGCCCATGGAGCCGCGGTATCGGTATCTGCCGGTGGCGCGCAGAGGGGGGTGGCGCGACGGTTGTGGGCTTCTAAGAAGGCGAGGGGCTTCTCAGAAGGCAGGGGCCTTCTAAGGAGCACCTGAAGGCTTCTGAGAAGGGTTCTTGGAAGCTCCTCCACCTTATCAGCCCCCCCGCTGGAGCCACCCGTTGTGCGCGCTGGCCACACTGGCTTGCCGACCCCAGGCATGACTGCCGCCTTCGAGCCCGGGGCGGCTGCCGCCGCTCGGCAAGCCGGGAGCGCGCTCGCAGGTCGTGTCGTGCCCCTCTCAGCGGGGGTCGCGGCCATAAACATGGCGGAGTTTGTGCTCGTGGAGCGGACGTCGGCCGTCACGTTCAACGTTCTGGCGAATCTACACTCCATCCCCATCGTGGTGGCCGGGATTCTGTTGTTCGCAGAGGACGTCGTCGCACTGGAGATGGTGGGCTTCCTCGCGTGCGTCGTGAGCGCGCTGGTCTACTCGTGGGCCAAGGAGAAGGAGAAGCGGCAGAAGCTGCTCGACGATGAGTTGGTGGTGGCCTGGATTCCGGATTCCGAGTCTGCCAGCCCAGATCCGGAGTAGTAGATCTGATGTCTGCCATGTGAGCGACGCAGAAACACGAGCTCGATTGCGCAGACATTCGCGCGTACGCTGCGCCCTCGTTTCCAACGTAGCGTGCCGCCGTGCTGGCGGCCCGCGCAGGTTACCGCGTGAGGTCGCTGGATCGTCTCGCGTAAGGTCCGTTTCTCTTCCTCGCTCATGTGAGGTGGTAGATATTATTGCTCTGCGTGGACACCGCCCGGCGTGATGCAGGGGAGAAGTGGCGGAGCACCGCGGGTCTGGGGGTGCGTCCGTCGTCGCTGGCTCGGGTGCCCCGTAACCCTCTTCTGCGCCACCGTTGGCAGAGGTGCGAGTCGGCTGCGGGTGGAGTTCTTGGACGCCCAGGTATCACGCGCATCCTAGGTTTAAGTCGGGCCTCTCCCTCTACCGGAGGAACGATGTTTTGAGGGGGACGATGCCCGACCTGATCCTGATCCTGTTTTGAAGGGAACGATGTTTTGAGGGGGACGAAAATAGTCTGGGGACGATGTTTTGAGCATGGTTTGACTATTTTGGGGAATTTTTGTTTGGAGGGTTTTTGATTTTTCACCCAGAATCCGCCTGTAGGGGGACATTCAGGAGGGGAAAAAACACACAGACACAATTAATCGTCGATTTCCCACACAATATGGGGAAATATGGGAAGTGGGGGGGAAGACAGAAACCCAGAAGATCTGGGAAAATATGGGGGATCCGGTTATTTGCGTGTATTTATTTGTGTGTCCCAGGGCCCCTTCGGACATGCCCGACCTGCTCCTGGGCCCCTCCAGGGGCAGGAAGGCAGTCCTCGCGCCGCGGGGCTCCGCGCCTGCTGGGGCCGCGGAGCCGTGGCCTCCTCTCCCGGGGCGCCCTCCGCGCGGAGACGCGAAGACTTCACCGCACCTCGCGCCTCGCGGGGCTCGAGGCGCTACGTTGGTCAAGAGGGGGAACAAACCCAGACAAACAATTCGTCGCCGGTTCCCCCGAAGATCTGGGGAAACTATGGGAATTGGGGGGGGGGGAAGGCAACAGCCCAGAAACTGCGGGAAGACAGGAGGGGATCCTGTTCTTCGTGTCTGCTTATTACTTGCGGGCCCCAGGGCCCCCGGCAGGCTGGGAGGGCCCGTGCCTGGAGACATCGGGAGGGCCCGTGCCGCCCAGAGCTCGGGCACCCCGCGGCCACGATCGGGCCATGGGGCCACGGAAAAGCGGCAGCGCAGGAGCCACGAAGCGGCAGCGCACGCACGGAGAAGCGCGGACCCAGGGGAAGGCGTCGCCAAGCGTAAGTCGGGCCTGTCCCTCTACAGGGGGAATCTCCAGAAATAGTTCAAAAGAATAGTCTGGGGACCTATTTTTCGGGTGTTCTTTTTGGCCACTTGGGAGTATGCTTTGACTGTTCTTTCTTTTTCGTCGACAATCCCCAGGCCCGACTTAACGCCAAGCTCGGGGGGGCCCGTGTGCCAATAATGCGTCGGGCCGCCGGGCGTCGGGGTGCCGCTCCCAGGCCTCCGGCGCGCCGATGTTCTCGATCCGATCCTGTGGCGTGCCTCCCCTGGCTCGGCCCGGCGGGGGCCCCCCCACTCCCACTCCGTGAGGACGTCCCCAAGACCAGCATTTCAGTTCCACCAGCCCTTGCGGGCGGAGGTGGTTCAGAGCGCTTCATCTTCCAAACCCCGTAATTACCCTTCGGGGAGGAGTCCGCCGCTGCTCCTGACGAATGAACGCCCCCCCCCCCCCCATTCGACGGGCCGCCAACCAAGATAGTCACTACTCCAGTTTTCGTAATAAAGGGAGGGGGTCTCATTTCGGGGGGGCGTCTCTTCCAGGCTATCTTGGAGGGCCTGGGGGGTCTGGGGACGATGTTTTGGAGGGTTCTCCCACGGGGGAGGTCTGAAATGGCTTGTCTTGGAGGGTCCAGACCCCCTCCCTTTTATTACGAAATCTGGAGTACCCTTCTCTGTCTGACCCGACTATACAAAGTGCACTCTGCGGCTAGATTTTGACCATCTTCGGGCGCCGCCGCCGAGGCCCCTGGGCGGGGGTCGAGGGCTCGGGGCCTCGCGGCCTGAGGAGCAAGGCGCCCGAGGTCAGGAGGGAAAAAAACACACAGACACAATTACTTGTCGATTCCCCAGAAAATGTGGCAAACTATGGGAAGTGGGGGGGAAGACAGAAACCAAGAAAATATTGGAAAATATGGGGAATCTGTTTATTTGTGTGTATTTATTGGTGTGTCCTGGGGCCCCTTCAGGAGGGCTGGGCGGTAGGCCAGGGGCGAGGCGTTCCTGCAGACCCGCCGCAGAAGTCTGGGTGGGGGCCAGCCTCTGGGCGGCCAGGGGCCTTCTCTTCCCAGGCTCTCTTCGCCCACCCCTCGGGTCGGGCGAAAGGGGGGGATTGGGAAAGGGGGGGGTACGAAATTTGCTGCACGCAGCTGGTTTCGGCCTCACCGAGGGGCCCATTCCTCGATACATAGCCGCCCACGGCGCCGGGAGGCGCCGGGAAGAGCAGCTACGCGAGCTGATTCTCAAACCCCCCCTTTGTTATCCCCCCCTTTCGCCCGACCCGAACCCCGCTCTCTGCCCCTCCTCACCAAGCCGTGCTCGTCGTTCGTTATTGCCTGGCTCCTCGGGGTCCAGTGAGGCCAGCGGGGGCACGCATCGCACCTCGCGACCCGGACCGGCTGCAGGGTCTGGTGCAGCACGACGGCGGCGGTTGCGCAATTTATCTTCAGTCGGAATCGGACAAGTCCAGCGCGCTGCTCATATCGGAGCCCAGCCATGTCAAGTTTGAATAGTCTATCCAGCTGCCTGCGGCAAGTGCCGCCACCGTGCCAGCCCAGCATGCTCGGCGGCTCTCCTTCCAGGGGGTACCAGAGCCGTAATTACTTGATGATGATGATGATGACGATGATGATGATGATGATGATGATGATGATGATGATGATGATGATGATAATGCTGATGATGGTGCTGATGCTGCTGCTGATGATGATAGTGAAGGTGATGTTGATGCGGATGTTGATGTTGACGATGATGATGCTGTTGCTGATGATATGCTGATGTTGATGGCGATGGTGATGATTATGATGATGGAAGGATGGTGGTGGTGATGGTGATGGTCATGTCGATGCTGATGCTGATGCTGACGTTGATCATGATTGTGATGGTGGAGATGATGGTGATGCTGGTGATGATGGTGGTGATGGTGATGGTAATGGTGATGACGATGCTGATGATGTTGTTGCTGTTCGTGATGGTGTCGATGCTAATGCTGATACTGATGCTGATGATGCGGATGATGAGGATTACGATGATGATGCTGTTGATGCTGTTGTTGACGATGATGCTGCTGATGGTGATGGTGATACTGATGTTGATTATGCTCATGCCGATGCTAATGCTAATTGTGATGATAGCTGTATCGCTCTTAGTGATGATGATGATGATGATGATGATGGTGGTGGTAAAGATGATGGTGATGGTGATCGTGATGATGCTGTTGTTGATAATGATGAGGATGATGACGATACTGATGATGATACGTATTAGTATGATGATGATTCATAATGTTGTTGTTGCTGATGATGCTGATCATGGTGGCGGGGATGGTGCCGATGGTGGTGATGATGGTGATGATGGTGATGCTGATGCTGATGATGAGGTTGTTGTTCGTGATGGTGCCGATGCTGATGATGACGATGCTGATGATGACGATGCTGATGATGATGATGATGGTGTTGATGATGATGATGATGATGATGATGATGGTGACGATGCAGATGGTGATGATGATGGTAATTATCCCGCCGCTACTGTTAATATTGATGCTGATGGTGATGCTGTCTGTCAGTGGTGATGATGCTGGTGACGATGATGATGGTGGTGCTGATGGTGACGGTGGAGTTGATGATGATGACGATGATAATGATGATGCTGATACTGATGATGATGCTGCTGATGCCACGTCTCAATGCTAAAGCTGATGCTGGTGCTGATGTGTCGATGCTATTGCTGATGCTGATGATGACGATGATGCTGCTGATGATCATGACGATGACGACGATGATAATGATGATGTTACTGATACTGGTACTGATACTGATTCTGATGATATTGATGATGATGATGATGATGATGATGATGATGATAATCAAAATGATCATGATGGTGATGATGATGATGATGATGATGATGGTGATGGTGATGGTGATGGTGATGATGATGATGATGATGATGATGATGATGATGATGATGATGATGATGATGATGATGATGATGATGATGCCATGTCTCCACGTGCCAAGGGGCACGGTGGCGGATTCTTCTCCTAGGCCCTCAGTGCCATGACAGCATCGCGACGGGGAGCGTCGATGACTGCGCCTGCGCGGCAGGCCTGTGGGAAATAGCAGGCGGCCGCCCGTCCTGTGCCCACTGCCGCCTGGTGGTGGGGGCGGGGGCAGGAGGGCACCCGGTACCGGCGAGCAGGGAGGAGTGCTGGGGAGCGCGGGGGCATCCTGGCCACATTAAGGAATCGGCAGGCCGCGACAGTGTCGTTCGGGGGCAACGATGGGGGGCATAGGCTCAGGGGGGATTGCATCGACCCCCAATCGCTCACTCTTCACCCACAGGGGCCTGATGGCCCACGCCGCGCAGGATCGTGCGGTCTCGCTGTCCAGAGCCTATGGGCGATGTGCCGCCGATTCCAGCTTAATGTTCCCCCGCCTCGGCCATTTCCCCGTATCGATCCCCCTCAATCAAGGCTCGAGCGGAGCAGTGCTTGGGCGATTTCGTGGACTGCTTTCGCTCCGAGCTCGCGTCGCAGCAGAGGCAGAACGAAGACGGAGCGGAGGGAAACGAACGCGACATCGAAAACGACGAACGCTGTTCAGCTCGAGCCCTGCCCTCGCTCGTCCGCCTCCGGCATCCTCCGCCCCGCGGCGCCGCTCCTCCGGCCTCCCGCGCTCTGCCCCTCCGCGCTGCGCCTCCCCCGGCACCGCCCGGACGTGTGCAACGGCAACGGCGCCGTCTGCGCCAGCACTGGCGCGCACGCTGCCCGCGTGGGGTCGCGCGCGAGCGCCCTCGCTCTCATCGGCGGCGAGCGAGGGGGGGAAGAGAGAAGGGGCGGACCTTCTCCGAAGTCTCGGAAGTCCCCCCGGCCTTCTGAGAAGTGTTCGAAGCTCCCCCCGAAGACAGGAAGGACTTCTCAGAAGGCGCGAGGGCTTCTGAGAAGTCCCGCCGCCTTCTGAGAGGGCCTTCTCCTTCTCAGTTCCCCCCCCTCGCTCGCCGCCAATCCCAGTGCAGCGTGCCGCGCTGGCGGGCATCCGCAGGCTGCGGCGCCGGGGTCGCTGCGCCATGGAGTGGCTCTTCATGTTTTTTTGTTGTTCCGCTGGCGCACCCCACGGAGCCCACCGCCCCGACCCGCCGCCCGCCGGGGAGGAGGAGGAGGAGGAGGAGGGGGAGGAGGAGGAGGAGGAGGAGGAGGAGGAGGAGAAGGCCGCCACTCTGTGTCGAACTGGGGGGGTTGCCCCCCCGCGCGCGCGGCCTTCTTTCGACCCGCATGGAGCATGGCAGATGATGTGTCACCTTCAGGGGAACGGGTATCGGACGCCCGCCGTGGCGTGACAATTGTGCAGTACAACCCGCAGTCTTGCAATCAAGCCAGAGGTAGAGATATTGTGAACGAGCTCCGCAACGCGGACATCATAGGTCTGGTCGGGACCCAACAGAGAGCAGGTGAGCATGTATTCGAATCCAGGATGCACGAGGGACACTGGTCGATAGACTGGGGATGGAGGCGTGGTCAGCATGTAAATCGCAGTTGTGGGGTGAGCTTGTGGATTAGACGAAAGCTGTTCGCTCCCAGGCAGATCCGTGGATTCTTTGAGATACCGCGGGGACTCCAAGGGCGTGTGGGAGGTGTACGACTGGAACGGGCAGGGATGCGGCTCGCTCTTTTTGTGCTCTACTTTCCTCCCATGCCGCGTGGGTCCCAGGAACGTCGACAGTGGACTTGTACGGTGGATGCGATGTTACGATGGATCACGCATGCCCTGTCTCAACTATCGTCGAGGTGGTCTCCCATATTGATGATGGACGCCAATGGGCAGTTCGAACATCTTCCTGGGGTGACGGGCCACCACGGCATAGGCAGCATGAACACTACTACGGCAGGGTTTCTAGCGGTGTTTCAAGCACATCAGCTGGTTGTTGTCAACACGGAATATCCCGCTGGAGACACATACTATGGCTTGAATTCAGTACCACGGGTGCTTGACTACATCGTGATTCCTCGAGAATGGGCCGACCACACTGTATATTGTCAAACATATATGCGCAGTGCATGGCGACTCCAATCTCATCACAACTCTCGGATTTGGGATCATGTGCCACTAGCTTGTCGAATACCGTACCAGTATGTGCAAGGACAGTATCATAGTCACCAGATGCCAAAATTAAGTGGGGAGGCTCTTTCTATGATGGTGCAGCGGGGCTGGCAAAGAGCTTCCTTCGTGAAAACGGTTGAGCGTAAGCTCGCCGTTGAGTGGGAGCATGTGTCAGCCCTGCCGTCGTCTCGTGTTTTGGATGCAGTGAATGATCTACTTATGCAGACGATCAATGTTACCGCCATCGAGTTTTTTTGTGAGAGCCCCCTCTACACTGAGGATCATCGGCGCCACGCGGCCGAGGTGTCTCATTTGCTGTGGAAGCGTCGCAATCTTCGTGAATCTTTTTCGGGGCTGGAGGCTCATCCTGATCAGGAAGCGGCAGCTCTCTCGCTTCAGCTCCAGCTAGGTAGACTAAGTAAGTGGATTCGCAGGCGCAAGAAGCAGTACTGGCAGCAGGTGATTTCGGATAGGTGTGTTGCATTTCAGGAGGCGGTGGAGAGGAACGACGGATATATGATACACAAGATGGCTCGTATGCTTGCACAAACAACCCGAGGTGGGAGGAAACGAGCGTATCGACTTCGAGTTGAAGGGACGGTGGAGGAGTGGAGCAGAAAGGTGGAGAAGGTGGGGTACGAGGGAGGATGTTCGGCGCAGCTCAGGGAGGAGGAGGAGATGAAGCTGGAGAGGGAGACGCACTTCTTGAGGCCAGAAATGGTCACGAACGAAATGGTTGAGGAAGATTTCGAGCGGATTGCAAGTGCCTTGTGGAAGGCGCGTCTGTGGCGAGCATGCCCGCAGTGGAGCTGCCAGGTCGAGCTGCTCCGTGCTTTCTTCTTCCCGAAGTGGCAGAATAAACGGATGAGGGAGAAAAGGCACGGAGTGGGATTTCAGGCGGACACAACGAAGCTGATCGCACCCAATTTTTGCCGTTGGGTTCGGCTTCTACTTCGACAGATTCGGATGTGCGATCGGCTCCCGCGCAGCTGGCTAAAGGCGGAGGCTGCCAGGATTGGGAAGGCCAATGAGAAAGAGGGGACGGATGGGGAGAGGATTGTTATGATGATATGTTCCTTGGGAAAGATTTTCTATCGAGGTGTACTCATGAGGGCCCCGAAGGTTGACATACCTAGTTGGGTCTACGGCGCTTTGAAGCACCGTCGGCGGGAAAGTGCTGTCGTGGTTCAGTCGTGCTCGGCATGGCGAATGCGTAGTCTTGGAATTCAACACATGCGACGCTTTCACGACGCTGCGAACGCTTTTTACTCCATGTCTCTGGCAACGCTGTTGAAGACAGCGCTCACGATCCTCCACCCAGATGATGTGCCGTGCATGCTGGATCGCATCAAATTCGCGCGCTTCATCTTTAAAGGGATGCCGGAGGGCCAAGTATTCATGATGAGGGAGGGATGTATGGCGGGGGACCCAGTCATGGTCTACATTTTTGTGGTAGCATATGCAAGGGGGATACAAAGGCATCTGGAACGGCAGGCACTAGACTGGGCACGAGCCACGTCTCCCTTCACTTCGCAGCAGGAGCAGGTGTGTTTAACCCTTTTCGCCGACGATTTGGCCGACGCCTTTGCGTTTCGCTCGCTTGAAGATCTTCGGAGTGCAAGTGCTGCTCAGAATGATCGGGTGAACGGGGCTATCGAGGAGATGGGGCTTAGACAGAACGTCGGGAAACAAGAGACACTACCTATATGCTGTGGGAAGGGAGGGCATCGGCACGAGCAGCTCTTGCACCAGCAGTTTACGTTGCAGGGTCGTATTTTAGTTTGTGCACGCTACCTGGGAGTCAGGGTCTCGGCGCGCTTCGCCGTGGGGCAAGAGATCCAGTTTCGACTTCTGGCGGGCAAAACTGCGTGGAAAAAAATGGGACAATTCTGGACATCATCCACCCCCCTCAAGTGGAGAAAGAATCTGTATAAAGGATATGTTCTAAACGCAGTCTTGTCAGGGATGGAGGTGCTCGCTCACAGTCATGGCCCGTTGCGAGAGAGTGACACCTCGAGTATCGAAAGTTTTGTGGCACGTCATGCGCGCGTTGTCCTTCGAGGTGTTGCATGGACTGACTCGTCTGGACAGACGAGAAGCAGCTCAAACCTCGAGGTTCTTGCTAAGTTCCGCATCCCGCCTATTTTCTTGGAGCTGCGCGTGAGGCGGCTGAAGTGGCTGCAGGACTTGTTTGAATATCCAGATACCTCGGCTCAGATCCTCTCGGTGGTCTTCGGAGAACTCCATGTGGGCTCTTACTCCCAGCAGGCGTTCCAGGACGTTCCCGAAAGTAAGTTGAACCCATGGGCCCGACAATGGTTAGAGGATATCAGAGCTGTTCAGGTGTTTGATGATGGTATGGTTCTCTTGGAAAATCATAACATGTCCCCCGTTGAGGTCCTCCTGCATGGCCGTGAAGATTTCTGTAGGCTGGACGTCTCGGGCATTATTGCGCATTATTGGACTACCCAGAATGAATATCAGAGGAGAAGGAGGAGGAGGACCAGCGAGGACGCCGAGGGGCTGTTTCAGTGTTGGGCCATGCTCGAGGACGGGAGTAGGTGCCCAGCTGTTTTTTCGTCGAAGGCCCAGCTTGCGTCGCACTTTGTACATGCACGTGGTGGGGAGCACGGTGCACTTGTATTGGCGAGAGCATGCTGCATTTCGAACCAGTGTGCGATGTGTGGAAGCGTGTATACCAGTCATGCACAAGCACAGAAGCATATGACCATGTCTCTCGCCAATAAACGGTGCCGAGCAGATCGAGGACGCAGTGGAGACACTATCAAGCTTGCAGTGTCTGAGTGCCGTCTATGTGTTTTTGGCTCGGACGACCCGATTGCTTTCCGCCAGCGCGTGCTGGACCACCTTAGCCCGTACTTGACTGAGCACGTGCTAGACTTTGAAGTTAGTGATGAGCTGGCTGATCTCGGGCGCGCCATCGACCGAGCCCGAAAGGAAGATTCACAAGAAAGAGGAGAACCCAGATCGTGCCAAAGAGAAGCTTCTTATCCAGCTCGAGAGTCGAATTCGCAGCCTAGAGTACCAGTCGGCGGCCCAGGTGTTCCTTCCCAAACAGCACAAGATTGTGGAGACGGGGACAGAGGCATATCAGAGATATTTTGAAACCGTAAAAGCAGAGGGCAAGGATCACAAGCGTGGGCCGCCAGAGCTTCGAGTGTTTTTCGCGATAGTGAAAGATTTAGATCCCTTTCTGACCGAGGGCTCCTGCCCCCCCGAGCTCAAGAAGTTCAAAGGTATAGGTCAGAGGTTGATAGGGATGATCGAGCACGGGAGCGAGGTGGAAGCCTCGGAGTGGATTCGAGACTGCTCGTTCAGCCCCACGTTCGACAGCATGACGCTGCGGCTGCCTTACGCAGTCAAGGGCGTCATCCTCGTAGGAAAAAACGTGAAGGAGGCGGAGGAGCTGAACCAGCAGCAGATGGAGGCGTGGGGAGGGATACCGACCGACGACTCGTACGATTCGTGCCTCCAGAGAACCCCTCTTGAGTATCCCGTGGGCAAGTACAAAATGATGGAGGTCCAGCACGTCTTGGGTATGATTCTGAGGGGTTGGGGTGCAAGCAAGAAATTAGGACGGGCCCCGCGCGGCGGCCTGGCTAAAGGACTGGGTTCTAAGTAGCCCTGGCCGTTTCGGGCCTCTTTGCTCGCGAGCCCTGGGATCCCAAATTTTTATTTTC